TTAAAATATGTATCTTTCAATTTTCTAAGCCACACTAAAGACAGGCAAAATCACAGATGTTCCCTTGTTCAGAATATCAAGGAAATTAAGAATGATCGTTGTCACTTTCCATTATAAGGCTCTCTCTGGGAATTTTCTGTGGATTATTCTCTTTACTATCCCCAATAGTAGCCACTCTTCATCTTAGGGTGGTGATTTTGCTTTTGGAAACAGTGGTAGAAGAAAGTAGGTTAAGAAAGACAACATATTTTCAGAGGCTGAAAGTGATACCAATTAGATGGAAATACAACTGATTTTCTTATACCTTATAACCTTCCTTGATGTTATTTCTAAGGAGAGCTGTTTCAAAAATAACTTAAGTGATGGTAGCATCATTAGAATAAGTATTAGCTTCCCAAGTAAAACCAGGGAACAATACCCAATTAGATGTCAACATTCTGATGTTTGCTAAAGTAATCATTAATCATAATCATATTTATAAGTGACCACTTAAACCTTTTCTCCTGTGAGGTCTATGTTTTTAAAAACATTGGGACTTGAATTTGGCAATCTAGTAATTAGAATCCTCTGAAGGGGAAAAAAAACAAATTGCGATGGTTTCTGGTATAGTTACTACTCTTGCACAGTTGGAATAAAAGCAAATCAGAAACATGTGCTTACATGATATTCTAACCACTCTGCTGTACATTTGAAACTAAAACAATAATATTGAATGTAAATTATAATTGAAAAATAAAAAAATAAATTAGAAAACAATATGATCTCCAATTCAAAAAAAGAAACATATGCTTACAGTACTTATCCATTTTTATATAGCATACCATTGATTACACATTTTTAAAAGAACTGAAATCTGATACTGTTTTGTTGTACTCTATGCATGTAATATTTAATAGAAACAGAATTCTAGAATTTGGATTGCTAATAATTATAGGGGAACAAACAAACAAAAAAGAACCTATTTTTCTCAAGATAAGATGAAATATTAATTTTCTTTATAATATTTTTTCCCACTCTCTTGGTCAAGAGTTTATCACTTTGATTCAAACCAACCCAAAACTCTGTCATGTTTAGGCTTCTACTCAGATAACCAAGAAAGAGCAACCCAGGTTAGTAAAAGCCCATTATAGTCCTCTAAAATGTAAATGCTGCTACAGTAAGAACTACGTTAGATAACTGAAGAACATCAGGATATATAAATCCTTCATAGTCCTCCCAAAGCATAATAACATATACTTAGAATCCTAGAATTCTATAATCTTAGAGACCATCTAGTCCAAACGCATCATTGTATAAATAAGAGACGCGCCTGCTGAAGGTAACTGAGCCAGTGATTGGCAAAGGTCAAGGTGAGATCTCAGGTGGTCTGTCCTGCACAGGCCTCTTTCTCACTACCCTGCCTCGGGTCCTGCACCTGTAAAATGAAATGGGTGGGCCAGAGGATGATCTCTAAGGTCCTTTTATAGCTCAGTCCATAATTCCATAGGTCTATTAATTATCAACACACTACATTCATCTCAAATAAATCCTTTTAGCTTAGGGATGATGCTATATATCAAAAGGCTCCATTTCTTGGGTCACTCATTTATTCCTTAACAGAAAAATAGTTATCTCCTTTGAGACCCTACTCCTAAAGCATTTCATGTCATTATCTCCCTCAGGCTTCCACACCCTGTCTCTGGCTTCTAGTCTGTTCTTTTCATTAAAAGCCTACATTAAACTTTACTGAGCCAGATGACCAGATAATACATCTCAATGCAATTAGTGTAATACATGAAAGGAACAACTTAGAGATACCTAATTTCTAAGCTCTCCACTCCATGGTTTCAAGAAACTAGATATTTCATTATATTTCTAACACATATGTGTGAAAAAAATCAAACTGGAAAACACAGGCATAAAACATTCTTCTTCTTTAAAAATAAACATTTCCTTCATTATTTATACATTCTCTCTATGTCCAGGGAAAAGAATACAATTTTGATCTTCAATAATATTCCTGACGATAAAGGGGCAAACGAAGTTCCATTTTCACTCCTATTTAATCATGAAGAGCTCTTCGAAGATGTCTTTTTTAATCCTTAGCAGGAAGGATGTGCCTCCCTCAATTTTGAAAATGATCCATTATCCTCAGAGAGGCCTTTACTCAGCTCATCTAGTTTCAGCTGGCACGGGAAGTATCTAAAGCCAGAAGGAAACTGAGAGATTCAGACCTCCCCTCTGATGCCTTTCAAAGGCTGCTCTCATGCCGCTGAGGTCAAAGCCTGACCTCCAAAGTGCAGCGCTTTGCACTCTGGTGTTGCTGTTCAACTTTCTTTTCCCCCCTTAAAGTGCAAGTGTATGGAAGACAAAATGAAAGTACTAGGTAGAGAAACAAACAAATGGGCTTGGGATTTTATTTGTACAAATCTGACCAACTAAGAGTTTCCTTTCTCATCATGGAAAATGGCCCTCAAAGAAAATACCACAGTGGGGTTCTCAGTGCCCACCTCTTTTCAAAAGGGTGATGTCAGAAAGCTGCTTTCCATGTAAGGAAAAAAATACACTTAAATGACTAAGGGCATATACAGAGGGTGACCATGAGGCATGTTGTTCTTACGTTAGTGCAGGGTCTTTTATTTATTTTATGAACAATATTCTAAGGTTACTGAGGAACTATGCTTTATTTTTCAGTATAGGAAGCCAAGGAAAACCAATGGAACATATTTCATTGGCTGCATCCTTCAATTCAAACATCAGAGAAAGAAAGGTAAGTAGCCATAGTCAAACTGTGCCTAGCTTGTCAGCACACTTATTTCTTATTATCTGAAAATAAACAACATGCTTATTCTATAAAGACAGAGGACCTGCTGAAAGCTTATAGCAACACACAAGTCTACTCAAAATGATTCCGTATGTTACACTGTAGGTTTGCCGTGTAAAGTTATACAAGGGAAAGAGATCAAAACCCTGTACAGACACCTGATATCGGACTTGAAACGCCAAGTGGAAACAGAACTATTCAGCGTCTTCATTTATACACAATTTACAATATTTGATTCAAAATAAAAATCACAAGAAAAATACATCTGTTTCTGCTACAATTCCTTCCCCTCCCCCGTCCACCCCCCTTCCCCAGTGAAAAGTCTTCTAATAAAAGGTATCATATTACCACCATGGTCCTGTTTTGGTCTAATTCTGAGATCCCAGCTTGGGATGGTTAACATGAAAAGGAATGGCAATACTTGGGACTTATATAATGTACACATTTCATCCAAGGATCTCAAGTACTTGCAGTCACGTCTCCAGATCTGAGAAATCGCGGTTCAATGGAAGCCAGAATGCTGGACGAATGCTGGGCAGGTTGAATGGGGTGTAAAATCACTTGGCTACGTCTATGATCAAACAAGGTCAAAGTTGGTTGGCTAGAGCTGGGCTCACTTTCTCTTTTCAAACATATACCATCAGTCAGTCATTTTTACCCTTTCTCAAACCACACACCTGTCTCCAGGCTACTGCCTAGAGTTAAGACCAACTGAAGAAGTCATGTCTTCATAATAATGCAGCAGCATAAAAAAGCAAAAACAGAGAAACACATTCATCAGCATCTGGCCAAAGGAGACAGGGGTTGGGAGGATTGATTTGGGAGGCCATTCCTAGCAAGAATGAGGCAAAAGTGTCAATTCACTAGTTTCAGTTACAGTTAAGCTTTTGGTGGAGTTGATTCCAGCAGAGGTGAAGCTTATGGCATCTAGTGCTTGATTTAAGATAATGCTATTGAAGAAGGGTAATGAGAAAACACAGCAAACGAACAGGGAAGAACTGGCCAAGGAGTATCTGGAGGGCCAAAGTGATTTTCTTTCCTTATCATTTCTACAGGAGAAGGCAAGGGGTAGGAGATAAGGGCTACAGGGCTCCTTATTTGCAGATTTTTAAAAAAATCATTTTTCTTATAATTCCGTAATGAAAACATGTATTACGGTATGAAGGTTACAGAACTGCATCTGCTACTGGGTCACGGCTACAGGTCTATGAGCTGATCCACCAGCAGTAAAGACCTGGCTAGGTTGGGAAGACTGGACTCAGAGCTCCCACTGCTGTTTCTAGAGTGCCCACCTGGAAGTGGAGAGATAGGAATTCAGTACAAAACACAGAGGGTTAAGGTTTAGATGTGCAGAGCAAGCAAAGGAGAAAAAAACAAAACAAAACCCTAGAGAAGCAACAATTTACATTTGCAAACTCTTACATGATGATTTTTAAACATAAATTAGGTATCCACCACCTCCCACAAAAGGTTCAGGCACTGTGTACACACCCTCCTATGGGTAGGACACCTTCAAATGAATATATATTTTGCCTAATAACTGCTGGCTATATTCTAACTTCTGACAACAGAGTCATCTCCTTGATATAGTAAAAAAATCAGTAATTTTTGCTTTGGAGAGAAAATAGTTACTAAGACCACAGTAATAAAAACAAGTTTTAAAAATATATATAGATGGTTCTTTGCAATTCAGTATTTTGTGGCACGTTCAAATGATTTGAATCCATCAAAGAGGAAAAAGTATGCTCCACAAATGGCCAAAAGATGCAAAGTATACCAATGCACCACTGTTAATGTCTTTGAGAAGAGTATTTATTACAAATTGTTCTAAATGTGACTTAAAAAATCTCCAACTTCAGTGCCTTTTTTTTTTTTTTTTTTTTGACATATGCCTTCAGGTTTAAAGATCACTTTGCTTTTGGCTTGATATTTTGTAAAAACCAGCTTTTAGTCAGGCTATGAAACACTTTCCTGGTTTCTAAAGAAACACCATGGTCAGGCTTTAAGATAACCTCTGTCAGTATCTCTAGCTGCATCTGTATCCCTATCTATCTGCACTGGTCCAGCCCACAGTGATTGTCATTACCCCCAATTTCCTTCAGTAAATGTTGCTTTTATCCCCCTTGCAGATTAGGTGCAGTAGTACTATTTTGTAGAGAGCTGATGGCAAGCTCTTTCCCCATCCTCTCTTTCTTACCTTGTGGGTTTTTGGTTATCAATACAGGAATAGGGTCAAACTCATCTTCTGCCACCTTGTCCGAGCCCTCAGGGACATCAAAACCTGAGATGAGATTACTATCTTCTGCAGCTTAATACAGAATGCAAGTACACAAGCAGAAACAAACAGAAGCAGAGATTAGCAAATGAGAGAACATGTAAGAGACACAAAGTTCCCAACTGTACAATCATTGCAGTTTTTAAAGATGAAAATGCTTATTTTCCTGAGTTGAAATAAAAGTAGCAAAATTGGAAAACTTAGGGAAATGCAAAACAATGCTTTAGCACTGGCCATGTTAAGACTTTCATAAATGATGCAGGAGAAGGGTTATAGGATGATTTTCTCTACCATTATAAGACCATTAATTGCAGTTACTGTGAGGTATTTCTTCAATGTCAGTAATTCACAAAGGCAAAGAAATTAGTTATTTATCTTCTTTACTGAGCAAACAGAGGCGTAACAATTTTGAAAAGCTGAAAACCACGGGCCGGGGTAGTTTCTCTTCACAAAGCAACCACTCTATACTAGGCAAACAAATGCTTCTGAAAGGACTCGCTGCCCTTTCTCTGATTGGGAAAAAAGACTTTCAAATAACTGATGTTTCAAGACATCACATACACTGAGACTTCTAGCAGAAGCTTGTTAGAATATTCTCCCTTCTAATTAAGGCTATCTTACCAACAAGTGCTAGCTGAGCACCTATTTTGCAAGTGCTGCTCCTCTGTAACTACACATTGCTGCTGACACACTCCTGCCAGATATACTTGGTTAACAGGTACCTTCTTTCTACATGCTCTATAAAAACATAATCATTTTAATGCCATAAAAGGTAAAAATAAAAGCTCAACTATTACCACCACAAACCATAGGCTAATTATTTTTCAGTCACTTTGGGGAGACTTCCTTTTTGAATTTCCTTCAGAGAGGACTTCTAAACTTCCTCTTCTATGTATTTGCTCCTTCTAGAAAACCACGGTCACGACCCAAACACAGAAAGAAGTTTGGTAAATGCCTGCACAGAGTTAGCCAGGCATTGTGCCTGTCACTTTCACAAACTACTCACTGAATAGACCTCAACACAAGCTACCCCTGTCCAAAATTACAAACCAGCATTAACCTAAGAATAAGAAGTGAAAACGGCAGATCAAAAAGAGAAACGCAGTAATCAATTGTGACTCAAATATTAACTAAAATTCAAAACTGTTACAAATTCAATTTTTTGAGGACTTTTGAGGAAAGATGCCTATTTATCACTATCCAAAGTTTTTACATCATGTCTGATGAACTGTCTTTCAGTTTTAAGGCTAACTATCATATTAGTAATTACAGTCAGTGACTAATCAACTCAACCATCTTCTTGAGTTGACTTCAAAGGTATGTAGCTCTGTCTTTACTAGATCATATGGAATATCTGTATTGCAGGTGACTGGCAGGCAGCAATACCTCCACAATCTGTTATCTAAGCCTTATGAAATATTCTCTCTGAGAGGGACTATAACAGAGTGACTGAGAACACAGACTCAAGTTTTCCACATAAGGAGGTGGTTACAGCACTTCATTAGCAAAGACTTTTGGGAAGAAAAATGTTCAGTTGTTCAGATCTCCTCTAAGGATACATGTGGGCCCAAGAAGAAGAGAGCATTTACCTTTATGGGTTGGAGCAGAGATCGCTATGGGGGCAAACTCTTCCAGAAGGTCAGTAGTAGGGTTAGAAAGCAGAGAGCAATCGATCAGGGAATCTTCCCCGGTGAGAGAATCTGAGTCCAGATTAACAGCATCCCAGGTCAGTGATGGCGTTAAATGGCACATACAATAATATCACGAGATTAGACCTTAGCCTTTAAGATACTGCATCTTACACATGTTCATACATATAAGCCAAGGCAGGAGAAAGAAAACTAAAGAAACATGTTTAGCACTCTGGATTTCATCTATAGAAACACAGATTTCTAGATTCCTCTTAACCTTAATATATAAAAATGGAAGAATTTTTTGCTCAGGCATGGCTGGATAAGCAATTATGTGATTTGGATGCCAATAAAACTTTAGCAGCTCAGTTTTCAGCAAATGCCATTTGGGAAAAAGAACTTGGCAACTGAAGAGTTTCACTGAGCCCTGACTAGTGTGGCTCAGTTGGTTGGGCATCATCCCACAAAAGGAAAGGTCACTGGTTCGATTCCTGGTTTGACACATGCCTGGGTTGCGGGTTCAGTCCCTAATTGGGGCATGTATGAGAGGCAACCAGTTGATGTTACTCTCTCACATTGATGTTTCTCTCCTTCTCTTTCTCCCTCCCTTCATCTCTCTCAAAAATAAATAAATAAAATCTTTTTTTTTTTTTTTTAAGAGTTTCACTTAAACTTTCCCTAAACACTCATGGAAAAAAAGTTACTATAGGATGAGGTGTCCAATATGACTAGAAGGGGGTTGTTTCTGGCTTATTACTAGTGGAATGTGGTATGATTAAACACCACTTTCTAGTGCTCAACCAGATTCCTATTCAAACTAGAATGACCTCACCTCTTACTAGAAATATTCTTTAAATCTGAATTGTTCCTTTGAACACATAATTTGCTTTTAGTTAAAGAACAGAAGGAAGACAAATATTTTAACACATGAATTATTTTCTGGAAAGTTTTCTAAAAGAAAACAGTCAAGTATGCAAAAGGAAAAGAAATCATATTGTCTTCTGTGTTCACTTTTTTTAACCTGGATGAGTTAATTTTCATACATAGTAGATTTCTAATTGTTTCTGTTCTAAGTTAGGAAATCAGACACTTTTATCAACGTAATTATGGACTCAAAAAAGATAAAGGTTATCAAATCTGTATTTATGGGCAGTGAAGGAATTCTACTATGAGTGAACTTTGAAATTAGGGAAAAGTAATGCTGGAATCAGGAAAGATTTCAACGTTGCCTACAATTTAATAGCAAATCACCTATAAATGACTAAAGCACTGTGCTAGGAATAGGATCAACATCAGAACATGTGTTCCATGGATACTACTGTGAGAGCGGAAAGACTGCTCAGTAACCTGGAGGAGTTACGGGCATCCTTACTGCTCAGCAGAGTTCTTTAATTAACGAGATGGAAGGAATCTGCCACCAGTGAAAAGATCTTGAATAAAGAAAGACTGTAATCAGCAAAAGCCTAGGGATCTCTCTACAAAGAACATGGCTCCAAAAAATACTATGTTAGCGAGGAAACACATCACTCAAAATCTAGAAGTGGAGGTTGTAACAAAACAGGGGCATCCCATCTGGGAGAAACCAACCAGGCTGCAAACTAAGCCTAGGACCATCTGTCACGGATGGAAAGACCAGCTCTAAGGGATCACCACACTGACCGATCGTGCCGCTGCAGAGAATCCTGACTGACCTGTGCAGTTTGAGGTCACGGATTCCGTCTGAGATGGGAGGCGCTGGGGCACTGGGGGCTCCAGTCCTGGTATGAGACTCTCAACAGCAACATCAGCTTTTTCTTTTGTAACAGAGCATATTAAAAAAAGGGAGAATAAAGGATCAGGGACAGGCAGTCAGAAGGCCTTTGGATAACTCTGTGAAGGCTTTCTTGCAGATCTCTAAATTGTCAGTCTCAGGTGAGATGGAACTGCAGTAAGTCACTTTATTTCTGCTGCTCTGAGTGTCTGGGTGTCACTGATTGAGCATGCCTGTGCAAAGGTAACCCCTGTGGCTAGTCTCAGTGAGTTTCAGTTTTTATAGATAAATGCAGAATGGGAGCCATCAGGAGATCTCTTACACATTAGAAGACAGACTGAAAGGCACCTTAATATCTTCTGTTAATTCTGTTTTCCTTACGGGACAAACTTGGGAGCCTTTCACTGCCTCTGTGCCTTGCAAAGGCCATTAGTTCCACTCAAATCCCATCCCATGTTGTAGCTGGGAGGTATTCCGCACAATGAGATATCCTCCAGCTAGAGGCCCATCTCTCTGTAGTGTCACGGCCTCTCTGAGTTCTAGGACCTCGTGCCGCTGGAGGAGAGGGGCCCTGGGCATTTTGTAGGTGCTGCCTGCTTTGCAGTTGGAGCACAGAGATATGTAAGATCAAGCAGACCAAGCCCCTCCCCTGGATTCTACTCCCGAGGCTTCACCACCAGGCATGTGTTTTCTGTTACTGATACCTGGTACATGGAGGGGCCTTCTAAAGAAGAATGTGCGAAAGGGAAGGTCCAGCTTGAAACTTTTTCCATGGAGCTTTTGTAACTAAATGTGAATTTCCCCACATTCCTCCTGATTCATAAGACATTACTTTAGAAATCTCAGGATATCAAGAAAAGCAAAAATAACAGTGGTATGCAGCTGAAAGCCAGAGAGAACACTTCATTTGACATGCTAACAAAGAAGATCAAATAGTCTTGGTTTCTGGATTAGTGCAAGGCTTCATCTAACACCAGAAGGCTTGGTGGCATTTCCACTCCTCACCAGGGCTATTCAGTGGGGATCTGTTACCCAGTTATCATTCTTGAAACAGACACACACATCATGCATTACTGAAGAAACAGAAATGACTTTACCAATTGCAGCATCGGAAGTGCTACCAAAAGGATCTGTCATAGGCAAGAGGTCAGGGAGCAGAAGAGAGGTGTCAGGAGATTTGAGTCCCTCAATTAGCTTTTCTAGGTTGGGCAGAGAGGTAAAGAGAAAGCAAAAATGCAATGAAATGTTAAAGCAAGCTGATAATTTTCAATTTTTTATGCAAATACACTTTAGGGGTCAAAATTCTGTGTGGATTCATCATAAAAATAATATTAGTATCTTGTTAAAAACAGGTGTTCAAAGTCTGAAGTTTAAAAATGATTATTTCCCTAATTGAAGTTGTCACTCTGTGAGACATTCAAGGTGCTGCCCTGGGTTTGTTCATTTTTAAATTTAAGGTATAATTTACACTGAATAAAAGTCATCAATTTTAAATGTATAATTTGACAGATTTTAACAAATGTCCACATACATATAAGTACCACTGAAATAATGATGGAGAATATTTCCATCACCCCAGAAAGTCCCCTTGTGCCCCTTGCCAATCAATGGCTTCCTCTCACTCCCAGGCCCTGGCACCAGCTGACCTGCTTTCTGTCCTGATCACTTTGCCTTTTCTAGGATTTCCTATAAACAGAACATATATAGTATGCAGTCTTTTCTGCCTGGTGTTCTTCATTTACCACGATGCTTTTGAGAGTCCTCCACATTGTGGCATGCATCAGGAGTTTTTCCTGTTTTATTGCTGAGTGGTGTTCCACTGTAAGAATGTACATTTTGTTGACTCATTCACTAGTTGATGGATATTTGTTTCCAATTTTTAGCTATTAAAAACAAAGCTGCCATAAACATATGCATGTGTCTTTGTGTATTAATATCCCTTCCTGGGCTTAGTTTTGAATCTCTCTCTCTCTCTCAACTTGCATTTAGAAATGGTTTATAATCTACCAAGAGGATACAATAAACCATGCCTAATTAACTTCAACAATTATTTATTGTCTGCCAACTGAGAGTTTGTGATTGCTTGTACTCTTGTTATTTTAAGGTTGAATCTCACAAAAGTCACTTAATTCTACAGATGGATTACTTTTGATGCCTTTTGACTAAGAAACAAAAGGACAACAGAAGCTGTCAGATCTGTCACACCCGACAACTTAATATGTGATAATTTGTATACATTAAGATTCCTTCCAAAATAGTTCCTTTAACCCTGATCCATCAATAACTATACATTTACCTTTAACCTATTAACGGTAGAGGATTAACTTGAAACAAAATAATAAATCATAGAATTGTGTAGAAAGAAGAGAACTAAGAGCTCATTCTTTCTTTTATCTACCAGGAGACAAAGGCCACATAAAGTCTACAACTTCACCAGTTAAAGGTCTATCAACAATGATTTTTATATCACCAAAGTAACATGCCAGTAAGATAAAACTAAAATTAAGGTGTTATAGAAAAAAAAGAAGCAACTTAAAGTTCAAGTACATGTATATAACATTTAATGAGTCTATTCTTCTGGGCCATTGGAACTGAGATAAGTAGATGCTAAATTGATATTGATTGAGGGACAGACACCAAATTTTAGGTGATGTGTAAGTTAGATGAGCTATAACTACAAGGATGAAACAAAATAATGAATTTTTTAGTGTCCTGGAAAGACAATTTGCTTTGGTACAATGAACACACTGCAGAAAACAACCCTTTTAAATGTGAAACCAATTTACCACCTTTGGAGTATGTGGCATGTAGCTCTCTTTGAGTTAAATGATGATATGCTACATTTCTCACTTTTACCTCATTTATATTGAAGAAAGGAAGTAAAAAGGAAGCTTCTCAGTAGCAGGGGAAAAACCCAGGGTACTAACCAAGTATACAGCATAATCACAACAGTATTAATCTGGAACTATATGTGACATTTTATTTAAAAAAAGACGTTAAAGTATCTTTGACAATTTTCAGCATACAAGCAAAAGATGGTTTTCCCAAAAAGTCTAATTTTTTATTCTGAACATTAGTTTTTGTTTTATTCCTCCCCAGAGCTTCTCTCACCTAAGAGAGAAACTTCTTTCACTTTTAGCACTCACTCATTTGCAAACTTGAAAAGCAATGGATAAAAAGACCCAAAACTTCTTGTTTTTCATACAACAGTTTATCTTGGAGCCAAACCTCAGGGTAGCATTCTTCCAGAGTCTGAATTCTGGCCTCTCTTGGGGTTCAGGGTTGTAACCCTGGGGTAGTTCCTTCAACTTCTGACACAATCTCCTCAACTGTCCAATGGAGAAAACCCCCCGCACCTTTCTGTACTGGTCACTTAAATATCATCATCTCCTGAAAGCACCGCGCCCTCCCTGGCCACATTATAGGAAGCTTCTGGAGCCCTCTGTGCTCACTGCTCTTGCAGGCCTTACAACATGACTGAAGGCAGGGAAGATGCCTTATTTTTCTCTGTATCCCCAGTTCTTGTTCCCTCTAGTCACACTTCTGTCTTATGGCTTCACTGGGGAGGTAGGGACAATAGAGGATCAACTGGAATTAAGTACTTCAACAAGAATCTAATTATTTTATTAGCCATTAGCAAAAGAGTATGTCAGAAGGTTAAAAAGTCCACGTGTGCATGATGTTGTACATGTGCTATGTGGTGAGATGAAATAGAGTGGGGTGGGGTAAGATGCCAAATTTAGGGACGCTTGCTTTCTGACTGAGCCTCAAAGTACCAGGCTACCCACATAATCTGTGTGGTCACTGCTGCTTGGGAATACTCAAATACTGAAACTATGCGAGGGACGGGCAGAGGACAAAGTAATACCAGGCAGAAAACTAGCAGTGAGGGTACAGGGCTACGGCATCCGAAAGCGGGCGGCATGTGCAAAACCAGCTTCTTTCACTCCAGTATTCTGGAAGTAAGAAAGGGCTCCCAGTTACTCAGTGCTGGTCCCTAGGCACCATTATAACAACATTCATCACTTACATTTGGAGAGTTCAATGTCAAACATTTTCATTTATTTCTCACAAACAATCCTGTGTTTGCACATACTACAGAGTTGAGGAGAATGGAGAACAGAGACTGCGAGCATGTGCGACTTGCCCAAAGTCGTAGATGGAACATGGTAGAGCCTGGACTGGACTTCCACCTGCTGCATACAGGGTCTGCCCGTCTCCTTCCACACAGGAGGAAGGAACGTCACACAGACATAGTCCCATGTATCATTATCAAGTTGTAAAAGACTTGTTGGCGCTGGGAGGCCAACCTTGTTGGAAAACAAGGTGATAGGAAAACACCACCAACAGAAAAACATGAGCAGACAGTTTATAAAAGACGAAATATAAATTTCCAGTAAATACATTTTTTTAAGAAAGCTTATCCTCGTGATGAATACAAGAATAGCCAATTATAAAACAATGAAATACTGCAACTTCTGCTGTCAGACTAGTAAAGGTGGGGGAAAAACCTTGAATCTTTTCCAATTAGCCTTCTCATTTGCATATGCAGAAACCAGCTTCAGAAAGGCAAAACAACTTGCCTAAGAGCTTACACCAAGCATACCACAGAGGCAGCAACAACCCAGATTTTCTATGTGCTGGGGATTCATTCCTTTGCTTAACTAACGCCTTGGTTGCTCTAAAATGTAAAGGCTCTTAGAAGAGGTCACGTTTAAAGCTATTATGGGTTATTTGGGGTCACAGTAAATAAATAACTTGAGGACAGGACATAAAGGGAGGCACAGGGAATGCTACAGGAGGCTCACAGTCTACAAGTCACAACCTGGGGACCTCCCGTGTGTATCAAGAGCTGGCCTCGCTATCCTTCCTTTTATGAGTTCTGTCCTCTCTCTCACAGTTTTATAAAAACACTGAGGCCATGTATCACGGTGGGAATGGGTGGGGAAGAACAGTGCAGAGAAGAGGGCGGTGAATTTAGGGAACTAGGCTGGAAGAGTTCTTTAAGATCCAAAACCTTGATCAAGTTCCACACTGGCATATCACAACTTGTTGATACGTAATGAACAGAAACTTTTTAAAATTTTACATGAATCATGGAAAATGCTCTGGATACAAAGCAAAACCCATCTACTGGGTCAGTTCACACTGAAATATACAGACTCACACTCTAATTCTCAATTATACAAGGTGACAGATGAATAAAACTCAGAAATAATTCATTAATTGAGTTTTTATTAGTGATTTTATCTTCCTAAGGAACATTTTACAAGTTTCCCAGTTCCTTTGCTTTAGTATCACAAGTACATGACCCCATCACATCCCATTATGTAAAATCAGTGGGCAGTTGTGGATACAAGAAAAATGGTCCAGTTTTGAGGCTGACGCTAATGTTTTGAAAACTAGCTTCAGAATTTATATATGGGTTGTACGTGTGTTAGGGAGAATTCCTGGACTTAAGAAGTGTATCATTCAATCCTTTGCTGTGATGCTGTACTTTTTTTTGGACTTTAGCTGGGGTCTGCAAAATCCCCCCAAATAAATAAGCAACATGAACAAGTAAAAAAGCCTGAATTTAAGTTAGTTAGCTAATTTTTCTAGGCATCGGTTTTCACTTGTAAATAGAAGATAAAACCTACCTGAGAGGGTTGTCAGAAATTAATGGGCATATTTATCAATGTATGTGTGTATAAATTAGTAAGTGCTTGTTACATAAAAGGAGGCTAACTTCTCTTTTAGGACTAGATGAGGGATCGCCAAACCACTGAGACCTGAAAGTGGGTGCAGTTGCATTTTCACTCTCAAACCTCGGCAAGAGAGTGAAATGTGAGAAGGAGGCAGCCTCCTCTAACACAGAGGAAGAAAAGGTACGAAATTAACTAGAGACCTGGGTTCTGCACTAACTTTTTATGACACTTCAGCCAAATCATTATCTTTCTCTGGATCTAAGTTTTCTTACTGATAAAATGAGATAAACTTAAAGGTCCCATATACCTCTAAATGTTCATCATCCAACATGAATGGAAAAATTGGGAAATAGAAACTCGTTACTTAGTAGATGGATTGCCTAGAGATAAAAGTGGAGATCTGAACTCGTAATAACTACACGGGAGATCACTCGAGGGCGCTCGTCAGTAATGCGGGGAGGGGATAAGAAGATCAGCCCCAAGGTAGCAGGGTTTGGAAAATGCAGAGCTGA